ATCTATCTATCTATCTATCTATCTATCTATCTATCTATCTATCTATCTATCTATCTATCTATCTATCTATCTATCTAAAACACTGTCCCTGGGAGGCAAGGAAAAAAGCAAGCATTTAGTTCGCACCTACTATATGCCAGGCTGGAGGCAGGTAGGTTGCCCGGTGGATAGATCAATGGGCCTGGAGTCAGGAAGACCTCAGTTCAAATCCAGCCTCAGACACTCACTAGCTATGTGACCCTTGGCAAGTCACTTAACCTCTGTTTGTCTCAATCCACTGGAGAAGGAAATGGCAAAGCACTCCAGTATCTTTGCCAAGAAAACTCCCTACAGGGTCACAAAGAGTTGGAAATGACCGAACAACAGCAACATATACTGGGCAATATACTAAGAGTTTTATAAATATTACCTCATTTGTGCCTCATGACAAAACTGGAAAGTAGGTGCTACTATTTATTATCCCCATTTTATAACTGAAGAAACTGAGGCAGACAGAAATGAAGTAACCTAGTCAGGGTCATAGGGTTAGTATCTAAGGAAGAATTGAACTCACCCGATTCCAGGCCCAATATTCTCTCCACAGAGAATGGAAAACAGAATTTGAGGTCTCTGGAGAAGTCTCATCTAATCTACTTCTCTGCTCAAAAGAAGAGGTGGCCTGGTGGTGGGGGAGAGGGGAGTGGGATTCTTCTTCCCCCTCTCCCACCATCTTCCTGAAGTCTCATGGGCTGTCCTGTCCAGTCTTCAGGCCTCTGGACTGGTCCCCCTTCATTGAGGGGAAGATGCTGTTCCTCTCTTGTGTGCTTTGGGGTACCGTCCTGGCTCTTAACACCTGTTTCTGGGGAGCCCTGTCCATCAATAGTCCCAGCATACTTGAATAGAAAAACTCCTGAAATGGGTTCTCCTGGGTTACAGACAGTAGTGGAGGTGGGGGAGACTGAAGCCATTTCCAGAGAAGCCTCAGACGTATCAGATTTGGAGCTATGAGGGACCTCAGATGGTACTCAGAGTCCAACTTTCTCATTTTCTAGATCATAGGATTAATGATTTAGAGCTGGAAGGTGCCTCAGAAGCCATTGAATCAAGGCCTAGAGAGGTTGAGTAACTTGCCCAGCTTCACTTCTCTAGTACTTGTCTGAGGCAGAATTTGAACCTGGGTTTTCGTGATTCCAAGTCCAATGCCCCAACCATGCTGCACCCCTCCACCCACCCTCAGTTTAAGTGACTTGTCCAAGGTTGTATAAATAAGCATCAAAAGCAGAATTTGAACCTGAGTCTTTTTTTTTTTTTTTGGCAAGGCAATTGGGATTAAGTGACTTGCCCAGAGTCACACAGCTAATAAGTGTTATGTGTCTGGGGCCGAATTTGAACTCAGGTCCTCCTGACTCCAGGGCTGGTACTTTATCCACCGAGCTACCTGGCTACCCCCAAATTCAGGTCTTCTGGTCCCAGTGCCAGTCCTTTCTTACTGCACACATTTATTCAGTCCCCACCACCCCCTCCTCCAGCTGACCACACAAAATATTTTGGATGTGTAAAAGTAATGCTATGAGGAATTGGATGTCAATAAGAAATGACTTCATATTTCATGGACATTATTTGCCTATAAATACATGCATTACTACAGACTCTCATTACTAAATCTTATCACATACTTAAAGTCTCTGCAATGAGAAGTTGGCCACATTTTTTATATCTCTGAAAAAAAAGTATTTAAAAATATGCTTAAATTTCCTATAGTTATTGACTTCCTCGTCTTAATTCCAGACACTTGCATGTGACATGCTTACCCTTTACACCTAATTACTCCACAACACAAGAACAATTATACACATTAGTAAGAGTCTTCAATGAACTTTGTGGTAAGATTTGGCAAGGATGCTACAGAGTTTGTTCAGCTTGGCTCAGGGTTCAGGATTCAGGTCAGATAAGTTTGGTGGAAGTTAGTACAGAGGGTAAGTACAGAGTATGGGCTTTATATAGGCCCCAGTAGGATAGGCCAGGGGACAACTCAAGTCCAGTGAATACCTTGGTGAAGAGGAAGGAGCAGAAAGAAGAACTCAGGCAGAACGGGCCGTGGGCAAATTTGGCTGTAGACCAGCTCTACCTGGAGAGAACATCAGCAAGATAATGTACAAGGTATATGTTAGTGTGATGAGCTAATGTTAGGGATGAGCCTAATACCAGCACCCTGTTAGGTCAGGTTTGATTTTGGGATAAAATGAGGCATAGGTCACTGAAAGGCTGTACTTAGTCTTAATACAGAAAAAATACTCAACAAGGAAATTGTGGTACTTAGCTTCAATAACACGGCCCCACTTGTTTCTATATGGAAATGCCTTTAGTCAGCAGGGAAGAGTATGAAATTCACCAAATCAGAGGAGCCCTTACTCCATGGCAATGGGTCTTTTTTATCCTCTTAGGTGACCAGGAAGCTGCTTCAAGGGAGGCAGGGGCCAATCAGATTCTGGGGACAGCTTTTTTGACTTTTAGAGAAGAAATCTTGGTTTTGGGGGAAATGGGGAACATTGGTCCTATCATGACTAACATGTTCATTAAATTGAGACCTGCATGGGAAAAAAAAAGTCCAGAAAAAAATAGAGGAACTAATTATAGACAATTCTATTGTATACATGTAACCTAAAGATTGATCAGCACTGAAATTTGGGCGACAGGAGTCTTAACTGTTGGCAGATTCTCATCACTGGGAAAGATTGACTGGCCCAGGCAAAAACTAGAGTGGTTACCTACATATTCCTTCATGGTCCCTTCTTTGCCCAAGGATTCAAAAATTATATGGAGGGAAAATGAAGCTGTATCACAGAACTCTAAGATGTCAGTTGGATGAAGTCTTAACTCCTCATTTCTCAATGACATGGTATAACCAAAGATACAAAAGTTAGTACTGTGCCAAAAAACCCCATATATATATGTATGTATATATATGTATATACATCATCTTTAGAAAGAAATATTTTATTGTAATTTTCTTATTCTAATGTGCAAAAATATGTTTTAAAAATGTTTCCCCAATTGCAAATTTACAAAAGAAATTCAGGTTAAAGGAATTCAGCAGCTGAAAGATGTTACGCTCCTTGGTGACATTCAAAGCAGTAAAATTGACATGTTGCTATTGTTCCCATTTTTGTGCAAGATCACAATGGATTTTTTGGTGACAGCTATGATTTCAATTAGTTAGCCAGCTAACAGCCAGCATCACTGTTCATTATCAACAATGGTTATGTACTCAGGTTAACCCTAGAAGCACGTTTGAATACAATCTTCAGATATAGATTAATTTCCCCAACAAATGCCTGACAGTGTCCTGACAATGGAGTTTTTAAGGCACATAGAGCAAGGTCTCCTAGCAGTTTCCTGGTCTGGGCCCCACGAAAAGGTTCTGTCTCTTTTGGCTAACCAGGGATGTACGACGTAGGCTTTTTAGGAATCCTCACATCTTCTCCAGGAACTTCAGATAGGTGGATTGTGCTCACCGTCGGTATACCAAAGCTGACTCGTGGAAGGAGGCACCTTCCATGTGGCATATGGCCTAGTTGCTCCATGGACCACAAGTCATTTTCATTTCGATGTTGAGTGTTCACATTATTCCCCATCCGTTCTGCATGGTCTTCCTGGTTTCTGGAGAGGAAAAAAAAAAGTATTTGGCATGCTATGTAAAGAGCACACAAACAAGTAACCCAAAGAGTTAAGATTCTCTTGCGTATCATGTTGGATTATGAGATCACAGATTTAGAACTAAATGTGACTTCAGAGACTATTTAGACTAATCCCCTCATTTTACAGATGAGATGTATTTTATTTTATATTTAGATGTATCTAAACAAAGATTTGAACCTAGATCTTTCTGACCCCAAGTTTAACTCTGCCACTTATTATATGACCCTGGAAAATCTTTTTGCTTATCTGAATTTTAGTTTCCTCATCTGTAAAAGGACATATTGACATTAGCACCTCATAGAGCTGTTAGAAGTATTAAGTTAAATGAAATACATGAAAGTGCTTTGTGATTTTAAAGAAAAGTGGTGCTATCAGTATGAGCTGTTCCTATTTGGGGGAGATCTTATAATGATTTTAATTTGGTAATGCTGCTAAACAGAGTGGGGCGATCATGAAGGAGTAGAAGACCTATTGGCTCTAAATCAGCCACCAAAAGGGCCACCCCATTTTGACAGCTGTTTAAAAACCAAAGAAAATGAACAGAGAAAGGGTGTGGATAGGACACTCATTCCATAATTGTCTGGGCCATCTGCCAGGCATCATGAAGCTCGGAGCACTTAAGTGGAGGTAAACAAAAACTCCAACGTAGTTTTCTGGAATTGTTCCCCAAGCCTCCTCCACCCTCTCTGCTTCTGCTGAATATGGAGCCAGCACCAGGTAGAGGATAGTTCTTTTTCTCAAAGCAGCAGCTTCAGCTGAAATCCCCCCTATTGGTGCAGTGTCAGAAGCATTCTCCAACTGTGCAGGGTACTTAGGAACAGAGAAAGCTCCACTCCTACCCTCCTTCACCGAAAACATCTCATCCTCAGGCCTGGATTAAAGTTTCCTGATAACTTAAGGTCTAGAAACCTTTAGAAGAAGATTTCACATTACGATGACCAGCTGGGATGATGGTGTGGAACACAGGACCTATAGAAACATATGTGTTCACTTGGGCCTCCCTCCTTATCCTCCTTAAAAGGAAAAATCTTTAGTTAGCTTGTGGCCTGGGGTGAGTCATTTCCCCTCAGTTTCTTCATCTATAAGATGAGAGAGGTTGGAACAGGTATTTCAAATCTCTTCCAGCTGTCAAATTTAGGACTCTGTGAGTCAAATGTTACCTGGGAGGGTGATACATGAAGTTATCATTGCCCATTAAGGGTTCAGCTTAAATTATGGGATGAAGGATAAGAAAGCTTTGATATGAGTGGGTGCAAGTTATGGGAAGAGTTAAGGACTGGTTTTGAATCAGGGTTTCCATGGAGTTCTGTAATAGTCTGCTCTGAGCAGTATAAGGTCCTTGAATCCTTGGGGGAGGGGAGGATTGGAGAAGGGAACCTCCAGGGTGTAGGCCAGGGATATGCCTATAGGGGCACCATCCCCATCCCTATCATCTCAGGCTGCCCCATTATGACATTTTTCTCCCTCCAGACTGCCTAAGATGCCCATTGTAATCATTATAATTGGCCTTGATTAAGAAAAAGCAGGGGTGAGGCCCATTGTGATTTATCTGGTTCTGTACCATCCTCTTACCCTCCAAGGATGGAAGTGGAGGTAGGGGAAATACAATTACTTCAGAATTTCACAGCAGGAAGATGTTGTCTACTCTCCTCCCAGAGTTCAGGGGGTACCAAAAAAGCTGGGTAGCATTGAAGTAAAGCATCCAGAATGATGGAGGTGATAATTTCACCATACTCTACCTGATCAGAACATTTCTGAAACTGTACTCAGTTCAAATTTTAGAAATGATGTTGATAAGCTGGACCCTGTCCAGGAGCGTAGCTAGGATGGTGAGGAGATTGGAGGAAAGGACAGAGATGAATCTTTAGGCTACATGGTTGCCAAAAACCTAATGTTCTATAAGATAAATAAAACTATACATGCATGCATGTATGAATACACACATAACAGAAAAACTTTCTCAATCTAAAGGTCAAATGTACTGCCTTGGGAGGTAACGGATTGACTCTGGATTGGATTGATGCTAGAGATTTCCAAACAAAGTAGACGGATGATCTTTTGTTGGGGGTGTCATTCAGACCAAATCAGATAGCTCTGAGCTCCCTTTCAACTTCATCATTCTGTAGGGGAAGATGAGATCCATGGACCAGAGGGCCAGAGTCCTTAGGATCATAGACTTCAGCTAGAAGGGACAAAGTCACTCAACATCATCTTTGGCAGTGATGCTGTCTTTTGGCCAAGTGCCTGCTAAAGCTAGGAATCATTATCCCTCATGAAGAGGGCCTTAAATAATCTGTCTCTTGTCCAAGATTAATCCAATGTTGACTTGCTGGAATTTGGTAGCACCTCATAGCACCTTTGGTAGCAGCTTGAGTGGTGATCCAGCAGAAACACCAATGCTCTGAGAGAACTAGATTGCCATACCTTGGAGACAGAGATTGACTTTGGAAGGACAAGAAATGCAAAAAGTGGTGTGTGATACTATTAATTCAATTGAATTAACCCTAAAAAGACTTGAATGTACCCAACTCTACTTATGTTGTAGAAACTCTGACTCCCTCCAATGTGAGGAGCTGGTGTCAGCCACTGGCTACCATGTTTATTTTCTTCAAAAAACTACAGTTTATCATGGTATTTTTGGACCAGAAGAAAAGAAATCCCAACAAAATTCACTTTTTTTTCTATTTTTGCTAATGTCAACATTTCAAGACCTGCAACTGTTCTAAATGGATTCTAATCTTTCTGTAAAACTGGTTTAGAGGGTAATCACGTATCATTAGCTTTATCAATTTTCTGAAATCTTAAAAGCTAAAAATGCAGCCCACAGATTTTGGTCAAACCACACTGTGTCCAAATGCACTTAATAGCACAAAAGGTGTTTTGATCAGCATGTTATACAACTCTGATCAATACCCCGTGGGGGGGGGGGGTGTAGGCCATTAAAGGTCCACAGCAAATTAACAGTAAGTGCTGGCTGACAGGTGAATTACTTTGGGCTTCCATAAAGCACTGTCAAATGTCAAGGGAGAAAGATAGAATTACCAGGTCTTCTTTTTGGTGAGGGGACAATTGCTAATGGAACAGACAAATCAGAATTAAGTACACATGTATCTAGATGCCAGAGCATTTCAAGTGCGTGGTCTTTCCTGTACTTGAAAATGAGGCCCTTACTAGAATCGGGGTCTTCTGAGTTATAGTATAAGTTTTAAAGCTTTTTTTGTTTTGTTTTGTTTTGTTTTTAGGCAATTGGGGCTAAGTGACTTGCCCGGGGTCACACAGTTAGTAAGTGTCAAGTGTTTGGTCTGAGGCCGGATTTGAACTAAGGTCCTCCTGACTTCAGGGCCAGTGCTCTATCCACTGCACCACCTAGCTGTCCCGTTTTAAAGCTTTTAAAATAGAATCCTAGAATGACAAATATTAGAGCTGGGAGGGTCTGAGGAACAAAAAATGTAAGAGCTAGGAAGACCCTTAAAATGGTGGTATCAACCTCAAATAGAAACAGATCTATAAGGATCCTTGCAAGCTGCTTATGGACCTAGAAAACCATATGTTAACATTATCTATGTTCTGTTGCGTTAGCGGGTTTGATATGTCTGCCTTAGAACACAGAGTGTCAGAGCAGGGAGGGACCTTAGAACACAATGTCAGAGTAAGGAGGGACCTTAGAACACAGAATGTCAGAGCTGGAATTGTCCTAGTCCAACATCATCATCTAACTAAGGATGATACTAAAACCCAGAGAAGGGTCAAGACAAGCCCACGATCACCAAGGGTGTTTAGTGCTTAGGCTAGGGTAGATCCCACTCAGGTATCTTGACTCCTAACCCAGTGCTCTTGCCACTAGATAAGGACTCCTTTGTAGAATGCTTTTAAATATATAAAATAAAATACATAGGAATACAAAGGAAACTAAAGCTTAGTGAAAATAAAGATGTGATGTTTTTCCCCATCCATGCTCCTGGTCCTCCGGGGGTCTGTGAACATACGGTTCACTCAATCTGCAGTAGAGTGGCCACAAGAGGGTCTCACCTGGAAAAACCTGGGTTGTCGTAGGCTGCGGTGTCCTCTTCGATACTTGTGGACCTATTCCTGGCCCTGTTGTTGTTACTGTTGTTTCGACCCTTGTAGCCGAAGTGGGCAGCCTGCGTGTCTTCCAGTTCCTCGCTCCTGAGTTGGTACCACAACTGCATATCTCTGGAAGGCCAAATGATAGCTTTCAAAAGTCGTATAGCTGAACACACATTGTAGGACCCACCAGGGACCCTCATGACACGCTTCTGCCTATGTACAGGGAAAAGAGGTCACACCTTTTTCCACATCAGGTCTTTGAAATCCATTAGGGAGGCAGGATGGTATAGCAGAAAAGGCCTTGGATTTGGATTCAGAAGACCTGGGTTTGAATCTGAGCTCTGCCACTTTTTAGCTATAAGTCATTACTTACAATTAGTAACTAGCTGTGAATTATCAGAGAATGGTGATGATGATGCCATTTATATGATACCTTACTTCTTTTATTTGATCCCCATTATAACCCTCTGAGAAAGGCAGGTTAGGTGGTATCCTTGTCTTACAGAAGAAGAAACTGAGGCTCAGTTACTTTCAGTTAAACAACAACCAAAAAAACATTTTTTGCAGGAAGCTTTTATGAAGAAAAACCATTGCTAAACAGCAACCCCTCAGTCAAAGTTGTCATTCTAAAACATTTTGTGAAATTGCTTGTTAGGAACAGTCTGATTGCCCCTGCAGATTTCTGCAAATTCTCCATCTCCCCAACCTGTTCACTGAACCCCAGGAAGGCTTTCTGTGACTGTCAATTTAGCTTTCTGACGGAAACAGAGATGAGGCAGAAAGAGAGCCTATGGCCGAATCTGAGGAGTGGGCAGAGGCAGTGGGGGGTAATAGGTCTAGTGTTAGACTGGGAGACAGAAAGGCCTGGGTTTGAATGCTTCCTCTGGCACTTATAAGCTATAGGACCATGCTTAAGTCTCTTAACCCCTCTGCAGGCTCAGTTTCTTTGTTGATAAAGTAGGGAGAAATAGAATTTAGTGCTAAATGCACAGTCGGAAAATTCTGGATTCAAATCTTGTCCAACACTCACCGTGTGACCATGGCTAAGTCCCTTAGTGTCTCAGAAGCTTCAGTTTCCTCATTGGTAAAATAGACATAATACCCATAGTATTCTCATTGGTATAATACCAATAGTATCTACTTCACAGGGTTGTTGTGAGGCTCAAATGAGAAATATATGTGTGTGTGTATGTAAATTATATATATATATATATATATATATACACACATATACATATAATTTTGCTAACTTCAAAGTGTCACATAAATTTCTATTCTATGTAATTATAATGACTAAGCTTGACCCCAGAGAAGAGTTGACAATGTATGGCCCTTCCTTCAATGCAAAAGTGAAGGACTATGGGTATGGAATATTGACTATGGTGTCAGACATGGGTGGTTTTGCTGAATTTCTCTTTTCCTTCCTCTCTTTTAAAATCCTTTTGTCTATCTTTTTTTTTTTTTGTGAGGCAATTAGGGTTAAGTGACTTGCCTAGACTCACACAGCTAGTGAATGTTATTTGTCTGAGGCCGGATTTGAACTCAGGTCCTCCTGACTCCAGGGCCAGTGCAAGGCTAACTAATATAACTGTACTGCATGAATATGGTATACATCCCGGTCAGTTGCCTAAAAATTATGGGCATGAAATTACTGGGGGTCCAGAGAGAATGTAGGGCTAGTTCTTTGTATTGCCAACTGGAAAGACTACTCAAAGTATTGAAGTACACTGGAATCATAGAATCTAAAATATGGAAGTGCCTTGGGGCATCTACCGTGGCTTGCATTTGACTGAGAATTTCTACAACAAAATAATCAAGAAGTAAGTGGTCATCCATTCTCTGCTTGAAATCCTCCTAGGGACAGGAACCTGCTTGAGGCAACCATTCCAGTTTTGAGGCAGATCTAATTCCTATGTCTCTCAGCAATAAACACTCCTTACTCTTAGCATTGTGCTCTGGGGCCAGGAAGAACAAATCTAACCCTCTTCCCCAGGACACCCTTTAAAATACATGAAGACATCCATTATCAAATCCTCCCTGAGGCTTACCTTCTCCAGGCTAAACACCCTCTTTCCTTCAATCAATCCTCATTTTCCAATCCTCTTACCATCCTAGCTTTGCTCTTGTGGTCACACACTGAAGCTTGTCAAAGTCTCCGTGAAATGTGGTGCTAAAACTGAACCTAGTGCTCGATATGAAGACTGACTAGAGTAGAAGATATAAAAGAACTATTAGTTTCCTCCCTCTGGTTACTATGCCCTCTTGCCCAGAAAGGCATTACCTTATTTTGACTGCCAGAGTATTATACCATTGCTCATATTGAGTTTCTAGTCTGCTAAAAACCCCAGATCTTTTTCATAGAAACTATTGTTTAGCCACATCTCATGCACTTTATACCTGTGGGAATGGTTATTTAATCCAATTGTAGAACTTCATATTTGTTCCTATTAAATTTAATCTTATTTTATTTGGTTCATTATTCTTGTCCACCTAGATCTTTTTGTATCTGGAAGCTGTTAGCTTTCCCTCCAAGTTTCACGTCGCCTGCATTTGACAAGATTGTATTTGACAGGATTGACGAGATCTTTGTGACTTGTACATAGCAAGTGATTAATAAATACTTGTTGATTGATTAATAAATACTTATTGACTTTCCTCTACTTTGCCCAGCAAGCACTATGGTTGAGAACTAGTGACCCTCCCATCTGCCTCTCAAACCGCTACTGCCCAGAGCCTGCTGTCCAAACCCCTATTGGCCCGATCCCACCAAGCTGACTCATTCTGACCTCTTCCAGATGTAACCCAGAGTCTCACACCACTCTGACCCTTGGTCCCCTTCCCAACAGTTGCTAGTCAATGACCTCTATTGTTCGTCAAGGTGCGTGAGACTTCACTATTTGCTTGCTGCTTTGCCTGCCAGACCCTAAATACCACCTGGTTTTTTCATTTGCCATGAAGCTGAACCTTCCTTTATGCATTATCTCTCCTAATTAATATATGAGCTCCTAGAAAGCAGACACTGTCTTATCTTTCTATTTGTATCCTCAGCACTTAGCACAGGAGTGCTTGGCAAGTAGTAAATGCTTAATGAGTGCTTTTCTATTTCATTCCATTGACTAAATTAATCTATACCTTCATCCAAATAATTGATTAAAAGTTGACATTGTAGGATCAAGGACAAATCCCAAGAGTATTCTACTAGAGAGCTCCTTCCAAGCTGATATCAACTGACCAATGACTACAGTATTGTGCCTAGTCATTTAACAAATTCCAGATAACCTAATTCTACTGTAATCTAACCCAGTACCTCTCCTGGTTATACAATAATCTCCCAATATCTTCCCCTCCCCCCACTTAATAGTATTATTTTTTTCCAATTACATGTAAAGATTATTTTCAACATTCACTTTTATAAGATTTTGAGTTCCAAATTTTTTTCTCCCTCCTTTCCTCCCCTCTCCCTCCCCAAGACAGCAAGCAATCTGATAAAGACTAATACATGTACAATCATATTAAACATATCTCCACATTAATCAAGTTGTGAAAGAAGAATCAAAACAAAAGGGAAAAAACAACAAGAAAGAAAAAAAAGAAAATAGTATGCTTCAATCTGTATTCATACTCTGTAGTTCTTTTTCTGGATGTGGTTGACATTTTTCATCATAAGTCTTTTGGAATTGTCTTGGATGATTGTATTGCTGAATCTCTCAGTATCTTGTCTACCAGGGGAATGTGAAAGACTTACTTAAACGTTTTGCTGTTATCTAATTATATTGTGTCTATAGCATTTCCCTAATCTAACACTCTAGTCAGCCTGTCAAAAAAGAAAATAAGATTAGTTTGTTCTTGATGAAAATATGCTGGATTTTAGTGATGATTGCTTCCCTTTCTAATTACTCACACATCCTCTTAATGCTGTATTCTAAAATTTGGTTAAGACTACAAGTCAAGATCATTGGTCTATAGTATGCTTTCTTAATAATAATCTCTCAAATCTTCAGCCTCTCCCCTATCAACTGGTTCCTTCCCTACTATCTTCAGAAATGTTCTTCTCCTCCATCTTCAAAAAACTTCCTTCTTCTTTTTTATTTATCTGCTGCATTTAATACTCTTGACTATCCCCTCCTCCTGGATACTCTTGATTCTCTGGGTCTTCATGACAATACTCTTTTCTGGTTCTCCTCCTACCTATCTGACTACTCCTTCTCAGTTTCCTTTGCTGATTTTTCATCTACATCATGTCCTCTAACTATGGAGGCTCCTCAAGGTTCTACCCTTGGACCCCTTCTCTTTTCTCTCTATATTTTCTCTTTTGATAAAACCTCAAGTCCCATGGATTTATGTATCATCATTATGCAGATAACTTACGGGTCTACAAATCCAACCTCAGTCTTTCTCCCGAGCTTCAGTCTTTTATCACCAAATGACATGGGACATTTCAAGCTCGATGTCCTGAAGACACGTTAAACTCAATATGTCCCAAACTTGTTATCTTTCCTCTAAACCCTCCTCTCCTCTAATATTTCCTATTTCTGTTGAAGTCACCACCATCCTTCCAGTTTCCTAACTTACTACTTTCTGCATGCTCCTCACTCTATTTAACCCCATACATTCAATTGGTTGCCAATTCATACCATTTCTACCTTCACAACATCTTTGAAATCTGACCCACCTTAGTTCAGGCCCTCATCACCTTTTAATTATATTATTAAATAGCCTATCTGCTTCAAGCCTTCTCTTTAGTCCATCCTATACACTGCACCCAAAGTAATTTTCCTTAAGCTTAGATCTGATCATGTGACTCTCCTACTCAATTGCAATAGCTTCCTATCACCTCTCCTCTGTTTAGCTTTTAAAGCTCTTCACAACCTAGCCCCATCACTCCCCCTCCTACCCTCAAATCCAGCCACTCTGGCCTCCTGTCTGTTCTTCATATAAGACATGCCATTTCCCACCTCCATGCCTTTGCACTGGCCATCCCACATGGCTAAAAAATACTCCCTCCTGACCTCTGCCTCATAGAGTTCCTCTCTTCCTTTCAGAGGCAGCTCTGGCGCCATCTTCTTTCTGCATGAAGCCTTTCCTGATCCCTCAACTGCTAGGGCTCTCTCTCTCAAACTACCTTTTATTTAACTACTCCCTCTATATTTATACTTATTAACTTTATTGATGCTGTATATATTTTTATATGTACTTGTTTTCTCCCCTATTAGGATATATGGTTCTTGGGAGCAGGAGTTACATCATTCTTTGTACCTGTATCCCCACTGCCCAGCACATAGTGTGCACCTAATAAATACTTCTTGGTTGATTGGTTTGCCAATTTCACCCTGCTCCATTTTGACAATATTTGACTTTCCCTGTTCCTGTGGCACACTATAACACCAGCAGCTCAGCAATCAAATTGGGTAGTTCTTTAAGGACCCTAGAACACGGATCATCTAGGCCTGCCAAATAAACTCCTCAACTTCTTTGGGTGACAGCTATTATCATTAAAGGGGAAAAGAGAAAGAAATTAAGAAATGAGCAACTCAGCCTTCTTTCCTTCATCCTTTATCATCACCATCTCATCTACTTTTTTTCTTTTTCTTTTTACTGGGTGGCTAGAGTGCCCAGATTGGAGTTAGGATGACCTAAGTCCAAATTCAGCCTCAGACACTTACTAGTTGTGTGACCTTGGGTAAGTCACTTAACCTCTGCTTGCAGTCTCCTTAACTGTAAAATGGGGATAATAATAGCACCTATCTCTCAGAGTTGCTGTGAGGATCAAATGAGATAACATTTGTAAAGAGTTTAGCACAGTGCCTGGCACTATATAAATGCTAGTTATATTATTATTATTATTATTATTCCCAATACAGCTCTAAAACAGTGATTCTTCAAGTATAGTCTGCAAACCCCTGGGGGTCCCTGAGACCTTTTTAGAAGGTCTGCAAGATCAAAATTATTTTCAAAATAAGGCTAAAATGTTCCAATTTTGAATATGGTAAATTTTGAAAGATACAACCCACATAAACAAAACCTCTATGGGAAGGGCAAGGGTCACCATATTTTTAAGAGTATAAAGGGATTTTGAGACCAAAAAGTTTGGGAACCACTGCTCTAAAACAAAAGAGAAGCCCACAATTCTTTGTGATGTTCTGAGCGTTCATTGCTAGCCCCAGCTCATTATAGACTAGTGGTTTCCAACATTTTTTATCCCTGAACTCTTTCTGAAAACAACAAAAAAAAAGTGTTGTCAACCCCTGGGGTAATTTAACATACCACTCATGTTCTTTTCAATTATTTACTGCTTAAGACACCATAAAAGAATTTTTAGTGAGAAGCCAGCATTATGTTTGGAACCAGCTTGATCAGGCTAGAGCTGATGGTCAAATTATCAGGGTGAGCATTTATACCTCAGAAGCTGGCAAATGCTAAAAATCAGGGCTTGAGTTATTGTTTTATTGATTGTCTAACTTAAGAAAGAGATGGGGATAGTGTTAATAATGCAGATTAAACTGAAACATGTCATGCATACACTTTTGGGGGCGGAGGGAGAGACAGTTCTTAAGCATTTACCAGCACACCGCTGCGCAAACCCTGTGGACCATCATCAAACACCCTCAAGGGGTTCATAAATCAGGAAATGGGAACCACCAATCTAGGTTCTAGCATCCCTGATACAATTGTTACAGGGCTGTGTGTAAGACTTCTGCATCTGTCCTTAGTTACTTGCTTTGCTTCCATCTTCACATTTCATTTTAAAATCTAAATTGGCAAATGAATTCCCTGAACATACACACTTGCATTGCTCTTCTTTTCCCTCTGCAGAATAATTTCTGCTTAAGAGTATTCAGAATTTTACTCATGAGAGCTTCTTATGCCCTCCAGGGCTGACTTCCTGGGTAGAATTTCAGTCCATGAGATCTTACTCATCCTTGATGAAAACCCTTTAAAATCATCTCGCTTGAAATTCATTGTCAAGCTATGTCCAGTTTATTTCTTCACTATCATAAATTCTAAGACAGAGGGGACACTTCCTCTCAAGGTCCCCCATCATTTCTACTTAAAAAACCTGCTCTTCCTCTGCTGGTGGGAATCAGGTCAATGGTTCCTTCACCTTGTGACAGGATGCCTTCTGTTTCTGCCTCTATAGATAGTCTTCACCCAAATGCTCTCCCAACCATGTGTTTTTCTTTCTGGTTCTTGGATTTCTCTATAGGATTATATCTTCTTAATATACAGTGTTATTCAGTTTCCTTTTCCTTAACCTTTTCATTTGAAATAATCTTCCCTCCCTCCCTCTCTCTCTCTCTCTTTCTTTCTCTCTATCTTTCTTTCTTCTCTCTTTCTTTCTTTCTTTCCATATCTCAATTAGAAGTACAAGGGCTACATGTGGGCCTGGTCTTGCTTTGATTGGCATAGGAGCTTTGACCTGCTCCATTTCCAACCTGGGCTGGTTCAGCCCTCCTCAGGCAGCCTGGTTGCCCCTCTGCTCTCAGGAACTCACCATATTACTGTTGAACTCAGTTTGGAGACCTTACCAGCTTAGCCCATTGAAGCTCAGAATTCCTGAATTCAAGAAATCTCCCAGCCTCAGACTCCCTGGTAGACGGGATTACAGGCATGTACCACCAAACCTGGCTGGCTTACTCTTTCAAAAACTATATGCCAGGTATAGCAGGCGTGGTTTCCACCTACCAAGTTTCAGTGACAGTTGTAGGAAGACAGACCTGCCTCCCAGCATTAGGATGTCCATTCTTACTTTACATAATTGCATATCTTTTAGTACTGGCTCTCTTCTTCTTCAACAAATGTCTTAGGTTATTTCTTAAAAAAACACAACAAAACTAAAACTAAAGACTGGATAATAGCTTTCTACAGGCCTTTTTTGGGGGGGGGAAGGCAATTGGGGTTAAGTGACTTGCCCAGGGTGACACAGCTAGTAAGTGTCAAGTGTCTGGTGTGAGATCAGATTTGAACTCAGGTCCTCCTGACTCCAGGGCTCGTGCTCTCTCTATTGTGCTGTACAGGACTTTTTAGGACCAAAAAGATGAAATTAAAATCAAGGGGGAAGGAAATAAAATCCTTCCCCCAAATCTCAGAAATGTTGCAAACTCTGTAGCCTCTGGGTTTGATGGTCAAGATTGGGGTAACGGCAAGATCTGGAGTCAGAATTGAATTCCAGCTCTGCTCCTTATTACCCAAAGGACTTGTGGCCAACGGTATCCCCCTCAGTGGGCCTCAGGTGCTCATATAAAATGAGGAGTTTGAACTAGACTCTTCGAAGGTCCCCGACAGCTCTAACTCCTATGATATACCAAGATGTACCTTTCAGTTTGACGCCGTTCTTTCTTCTTCACACATTTGAGGAGGCAACAGGTTAAAAACGCGACGGACATCAGCAGGATGATGGCGCAGCTTATAATGGAGGCGATCACAGCAACCTTAAACCCAAAGGTTTCATACATGGGCAGAGCTGTACAAATAGGGAATGGACATGGAAACAATTTACAAGGTGCCACAGGCCTGATGAAAATCAGCTCAGCTTTCATCTTCCCACAGAGCCCTGTTTCACCCTAGAGAAGCTTTTCTATAAAACAGAATGCAAGACTGCCAGCCACAAAGACTCATGGAACGCTTTGCTTCAGTGTCTAGTGAAGGTATTTTGCAAAGCAGATGTTGCCTGGTTGTGTGTTTCCAGCAACTTGTCCCCACAAACGTAGAGAATGTCAGTCCTTCTGGGGCCCCTTGGCTGGAAAGCACCATCAGATCAAATGCCAGTGCCCTGCCCTCCCCTTTTAACCGGCATAAGCCCATCCCAGGAAGCGCTGGCATTGGCTCCGTGAGTCTGTCACGAATGTCGCTGTTTCCAGATTGAGCAGCTGTTCATGTGCCAGCTCTTCCTGTCCCATGGGCTGGTTTGATTCAGCTCGGACCTTATAAGGTGAGATTGTATTTCACTGCTATTACCTCGAGTCAAGAGCCTGGTCTTCACTTCAAGTCCTCATTTATCTAAGTTCACCCAGAAGTGATCAGTCTTAGAAAAATAATGTATATTCTACTTGGAATAGGTTGACAATGGAGCGAGCATTGAACTACGCAGCTTACTAGCTATGTACCCTTGGTCTTGAGTTACCTAAACTCCAAGTTTTAGTTCACTGATCTATAAGAACAGATAATGATACCTGATTACTGTAGGCGTACTGTGGCAGTCAAGAGAAATAAGGAAGAAGAAGGACCTTTTATGTGCTGCAAAGTGCAATACAGATAAAAGCCTTTACTAAAATTCTTATACTGGGAGATGTACCTGAACAAAGACCCTATTTTCATAGGGTACCACAACCCAGGTTGTGAAAGTTGCTTGCTTGAGCACAAAATCAACACATAGGGAGACAAATATTCTTAAGGGACATATCTATCAGACTGTAGTAACTTGATGAATGTCCTGTTTCCATTCCAGAAGTGTGTCCAAATACAGGATACTCCCCTCCCCACCTAGTGTCCAGAATCAGAGAACTGCCCATCATATGTAGATCATTAACGTGTTGTCTTTTCTAAGATCACAGCTCTTAGACATGAGCTACATTTCAGACTGGTGACTTCTTGACATCAGGAACACACGACAGTTGCATCATAAAGAATTCTATAAATATAAGTCATTGTTGTTTTGAATATCTTCTACTTGAATCTTTCTCTGGTGCTTCATTGTGGTTTGGAGGTGGCCTTGGGTCATCCTAACCACACAGAAAGTCTTCAAGTACAGGCCTGTCATGAACTGTCTGTCTCCTGAAAGCTAGCCTATCCAAGCTCAGAGAAGTTGATCACCAGATTGACCATAGAGTGATGACTTTGCCTGCAACAGCAATGATTGTTTACCAAGTTATAGGGGGTTTGTGGCCTGTCTTGGTGAAAGGAATATCCATGTTGATTAAATCATATATACCTAAATAAGTACTCCACTGTAAAGAAGCAGGTCCTAGAAGTACCCCTCTGGGAGGAAAGGTAAAAATGTTTTGTGTGAGACTAACTCAATCATAACCTGAGAAAACAAAATGGTGGGCAGAACTAGAATCTGGGTCAGGGAAAGATATGTAATAATCATTGGTTCCACAGTATGTTGGTTATTCCAATGCTGCCAAGGAATTGGGGGACAAGGGCATGCCAAAATGGGATTAAGACCCAGCAAGGAACAAGAGTTTTGGGTAGAAAAAACCCATTCAGCATGTTGAGGATTCAGCATGTCCAGAAGACTGGACAATTGATTTTTTGTTTTTAAAGGAAAGCCACAGCTGTTGCCAATAACCTTAACGAGGGCGCCGATCTATATCCCTTATGAGGTTTCTTGGAACCAGTTTAGCAGAGAGCTAAGCCAGCCCAGACCTCTGAGCTACAGAGTTGACTGCATTGTTCACAGAATCACATTTAGAGTTAAAGAGATATTAGAGATGACCTTGGTCAACACCAAGGAAGTGAAATGACTTGCAAAGAACCACACAGGTAACAAATGTCAAAGGCAGGACATGAACTCAGTTCCCTTACTCCAGAACCAGTGTTCCTTCTTCTCCACCACTAGAATGAAAGTGAAAGAGCCAGGTGAGATGTCAGGTCAGGCAGTATGGGTCACCTGGCTGACTTTCCCTATGGTTTATGTTCGCCCCTGGAAGAAAAAAGCCTGTGTACTGGGTGTCACTACAAGCTGTTAACTGACTTAAGTCATGGCATACCACCAGAGGGCAGGGTAATAATGATGTCATTGACAAGATCATTGACCACTTAATTTTTTTTTCCCAAGCTATCTATGAACTATTCCTCCTTTTTGTTTGTTTGTTTGTTTATTTTTAATTTAGCATTTAATTTAGTATATTTATATAATTATATATTATATTATTTTATTACAGAAAATTATATATAATATATAATTTTATATAATTTAGTATATTTAATTTAGTATATTATTTTCCCCCAGTTACATATAAAACAATTTTAACATTCATTTTTAAAACTTTGAGTTCCAAATTCTCTCCCTTTATCCCTCCCCCCCCATCGAGAAGGCAAGCAATTCGATATAGATTATTCACGTGCAATCATGCCAAGCACTTCCATAATAGTCATGACAACTTAATTCTTGAGACATCTTCTGAGCCCATCCCTATTTTCTTGGGCATGCTTGTATTAGAAGTTGTGGGACCCTGAAACCCTTGCTGAGATGAGGCCCTGGCTCACAGAAAATGATCATCATATGGTCACTGGCCATATGGTTTTGGAGAAGAACAGGACTAAGGCGTCAGTGTTCAAGTTTTCCCTAAAGGACAGAACCAATCAACCGATAGCTGGTGAATGTACTTCCAAATCCCTTACTTAGAAGAGAGAAGCATGATTTCACACTAGTTTAAACTTCCAGGGGCTGAAACAATGTAGGCCTCCAGAAAGCTAAAGGACACGTGGTGCAGAAGAATGCAAGAAAGCCAGAAGGCCTTTCAAGTTGGAAAGGCTTCAAGCAGAGGCTTGGTGATGAACGGTGTCACCTAAGGTCCAACCTAACTAAGTTGAGAGAAGTTCGTTTTCAGTTTGAACACAGGATAATGAATTTTTCAGTCCTAGCAATTCATAAAGACTGTCTACTAAGATGGAACGTGGTTGCAATCTATACCAGTGGGGAAAGGACCCATCGTAATGAAATCACAGCTCTGTGAGGTTTTGAAGTCAGTATTATCAGCAACAATCACTCAGAGTGGGTTACTTCCATCAGTGTCCTGGTATATGTTTATTTAACAAGTGGCTCTCCAGGGGGAAAATGTACACTCAATACATTTTAAAAATTTAAAATCTGTACTACTACTTTCTCTATCTCTTTCTTAAGTTTAGATAATCAACAAGCCAATAAATCAAATCCTGATTTGTGGTGTTTGCTGGATTTCCAAAGTGTAAATGCTCACACTGAAAATTTAACAATTGGCTTTCATGAGCCAGTATGAGCTGGTTTTAGTACACTCCTGGTTACTTCTGGGATGGATCTGTCAACTATGCCTATCTAATTTATATTGATCTGTGATTATGGGCAAATCTCTTCTCTCTAGACCTCAATTTCCTCTTCTATAAAATCAGAGTGTTAAATTAGAAGGGAAGAAACAGGTTGTAGTGGATAGAGAAGTCACCCTGAAGCTAGGAAGTCTGGGGTTTAAGTCTAGCTTCTGACACATACTAGCTGTATGACTCTGGGTAAGTACTTAATCTCTCAGTGCTCTAGGCAATCTCTAAGGAAAGGTGCTCACCTGCATTGGTAGAGTTAAGTTTCCAGAACTTGGCATTTACCAAGGAAATCACAGATCCAATGTCTATCCATATCCCTAGATTAGACAGTCCTTAAGGACCCCTATAGCTACAAATCCTTTGATTTCATGCTCCTTACAACCTTCCATCTCAGAGCAGTACTTCCTGACCTTCCTCAGAGACAAGTTTATATCCTATAGCCCTCTATCCATTGACTACATCAGATGGGAGTCTATTTTATTTAAGAGGAAAATGCAGGAGAAAATACAGGAAGGAAAGAATAATCAGCAAATCCCTGCATCGTACTTCTTTCTGTTTAGACTTCTTTTTGCTGGCAGGTAATCCTGGTTTCACATCTTTATTTCTTCATCTGTAAAATGTGATTAACAATCTTAGCACCATGACTCCAGAAGGTTGTGGAACCCTTGTATGTCTTAAAGCTCACAAAGTGCAAATAATTACTATGATTGTTCCTTTTTCAAACTAATTGTTTGTTTAAATATTTCTGCCTTAATTGTAGCCTCTCCATAAAAAAGTGACTTAATGTTTCCACAAATGTATTAGCATTTCTACAAATCTTGTATTTTCTCTTGGGAATGCATGCTTAATAAATATATTTTCATGTGCTAAATTCTAATGGAAGCAGAAGGCTTTTCTTAAACAGATAATCAGCCTCGTGACAGAAGGCTAAGCAAAAGCACAATGTAGAATATGCAAACTATTTTTCTTTCTATGGAGGTTAGTTGGTATTCAGTCAGATAGTAACACTTTGCTAAGACTGATTTCAAAAGACTGCCTGCTCAGTTAGGTGCAGAGGGAGAAGGGAAGTTGGGGGAAGGCTCAAGGAGGGGAGTGTATCCTTACCCTTGCATGTTGGTGTCTTATTTGTCCACTCCGTGCCATTCTCTCTCCAGATGCAACTAGTAATGCCTTGTCCCAGCATCTGGTGGCCTATAGGGCAGTGGAACATCAGCACTGTCCCAATGGCGGTGCCATTGCCGTGGATTATTTGGAAGGTGCCCCCTTGAGGTGGAAAGGCTCGGCTACACTGACCTGTGGATTTAATCAGAAAGATCTCTTGTGAAGACTGATTACAAATGCAAAGAATCTCATGCACGGAGAATGAGGTGACTGGATTGTAGCACTCGATGTTTTGTACAACTGTTGCCAGAGACCAACACAAGGTCAGTGTCTACCATTCTCAACCCCATCCAACAGGTAAGAAAAAGCAGCCTGGTTAGGGATGTGCTGTTGTCTTCCACCAGCAATCTCTTGGTGTTTGCTCTATTTCTGGTGACTTCTATCTGTTTATAATCATAGACAGTAAGGACTATCAAAAGCCCTGAAAGGCAGAATCACAGAATGTCATAGACAATCTAATCTATTCCCTCGATTTACAGATGAGGAGACTGTGGACCACAGAGAAGAGTCTTGCTCAAGGTCACACAGTGAATTATTGGAAGATCCAAGACCAGAACCCAAGTCCACTCCCAACTCAGGGCTTTCGCTCCCTCTATCATAAAGGCACAGTCAAGTAACTCCATTTGAAACACAATGAGCTGGTTCAGAGAATCATTGGACTCCTTTAAAACCATTATTTTTTAAAGCCTATTTTTTCAGAGCTATATTTCAAGAAATCGTAAGTGAAAACTGCACAGGACAAAAAGCAAATTGTCCTAGCATTTAGAAAAAAATCTAGCCCCCAAACCCCAAAATACCTTACAACATATAAGCAAACAAAAATTACATTCCTACAGACAGAGCACCCACATGTAAGGATATGGTGCCCCAAGTGGAGAGAGGGACCACATGTGGGTTGTAGTTATATGTGGAATAGCACTTTGGGTTGAGAGGCATCGTGGTCTGGAGAAAAGCACACTAGTTCTGGAGTCCCAGGATCAGGGTTCAAATTCCACCTTTAGTGAGATTTGCTACTTATATGACTTTGGACAAATCCCTTCTCCTCCACGGGCCTCAGTTTCCTCATCTATAAAATAAAGGGGTTGGACTAGATGGTCTCTGAGGTCTTCAAATTTTACTTAAGATCCTATAAATGTCTATTCTGAATGGTCTTTTTTAAGTCTGTGCAAAACAGTGACCTCAGTTCCTGTTTTTCCTCTAGGGACCATCCTGTGATCTACTCCATACCCTCACCCTCCTATGCTCTCTTCTAACACTGAAAAAGAAAAGTTTTCTCTCACTCATTTGAGAAATAGTAGACTTCTGATCTCCATCGATCTTGCTGCTTTTCAGCCTTTGAATGGCTTCTCCTAGCAAATCCATGAAGAGCCTAAAGTTACTGATGGGGTCATTCATTGTTATTGGTATTATCCCCTACCCCCATTGAAATGTGAGCTAGAAGCTTTCCCAGTAGGATTAAGGGTAAAGCAAGGATGCCCATTGTCTCTACTTTTATTTTACACAGTGATAGAAATGCTAGCTATAGCAAGAAGACAAGAGAAAGAAATCAAAGGAATAAGCATAGGCAAAAAGGAGTCAAAATTATTTCTACTTGCAGATGACATGATGATCTAACTAGAGAATCCTAGAGAATCAATAGAGACAAAAGCTTCAGTAAACCTTGGAAGAGACAGAAAATAATAACAGCAAAATTAAAGGCCTTAAATCTATTTATAATTATAGATAAGAGAAAAATTGTCAAGCAAGGCATAGAGTAGATAATCTTAACTGTGTAAAATTTAAAACAAACTTTTGCCCCACAACCAAGGCAACTAGAATCCCTGAAGATGGATAGGGAAGAGTGTTTGAATTAAATTTGACATCCAACAGCTATAGAGAACTGACAAATACATAAAATTAATAGCCATTCCTCTCTTATAAAATACATTTCCTGAGAGCACAGTTCTTTTATCAATTATTTAAAGACAGAAATGTCCCTTAAATTTTCAAGGAATGCATTTTGTAAAAAGGGTTTGGGTATTTGTTGGAAAGTGTCTATTGAATCAAAACAAAATTATTTCCATGTGTTTTTTTATATGAATAATCTGTGATTTTATCATTGGAGGGAGCTCCCAGTGAGAAATTTCCTTTAATCAATAAAGAGGTTTCAAGCCTTAAGAAAGTTGTCTGGCACTAAAGAAGTTAAATGATTTGAACAAGGTCATGAAGCCAGTATGGGACAGATGTCACATGTGAATTCAAGTCTTAGGCTGGCTCTCTAGTCACTAGTCACTGACTCTCATCAATAAATTTAACTTTTAAAATTTTAAAAAAAATGAAAGTGACTGCCTTTAAAAAAGGAGGAGGGGTCTAGCTAATGAATGAGCTTCACCATTTTTAATTTCAACTGCTTTCTGCTCCCTAGGAGCAAATACAGCCTAATATCTGCTGCTCTGTGATGTCTTTGTTACTGAGTTTTAGCCCATGAACTTATGTTTTCTCCAAGGTCTAGGGATTAATTCTAGACCCAGATCTGCTTTAGCGCAGTATCTGATTAAATGTTCCAGATCAGAGTCTGTGTAAGAGCAGACAGAAGGACACAGATCTGAGGGCAGAGAGGAACTTTTAGACATTTAGTGTCTTTGAAATGGCAGAAGCAAATAAAAGTCATCAATTACTCCTTTGCAGACATTACACACAAAGAGGGTCTTAGAAACACAGCTTGGCAATGCAGGTAGGTGGTGCGGTAAATAGAGCACCGGCTCTGAAGTCAGGAGGACCTGAGTTCAAATCCAACCTTAGACACTTACTAACTGTGTAAACCTGAACAAGTCACTTAACTGCAATTGCCTGAAAGAAAGAAAGATAGCTCTTGGCTCCATGGATTGAGCAGCACCCGCTGTGGGGAAGATGGAGCTTGGCTGTCTGATAGTCTGTCTGAAAATCTGGGCTATATATAATCTTCTTTTAGTGACCTCTATTAATCTATTATCTTAAAAAACCCCTGTTATTTCATCTCTGCATCACGAGGTGCCAACTTACAGGACCCATATGATATTATGCAGGTTTCATGCCAGATTCCCAGAATGCAGTTGTGGCATAGTAGGACACACTCAGAATCAGGGTCCAGTCTCCATTCTGCTACTAACTCATTGTGTGACCTTGGACAAAGTCACCTGACCTTTCGGAGGTTCCGATGAGGACCAGATGTGCCCTAAGGTCCCTTCTTGCCTTGAGATTCTAGGAATTCCTGTACTCACCTCCTCCTCTGCTCTCCCAACTCAACCCTCAAACATCTAAGCTTGTTATGACCATGTACAGAATCTTTATTTTTGATATATAAAAATAAAATATTTACTATGCTTTTAAAAAGTTTAAAAATTAAGTGAAACAAGGTCTGTGGGCAATACCTGCTTTTTCCTTTTTAATACTTAACCTGCATCATTTCTTCAGGCCTGGCCAGATACCAAACTACCTTAACCACAGAATTATAGATTACCAGGGACCAGGCTTGTGATTTCACTGGTATCAGAAACTCCTGGACGAGGGAGTTCTACCAAGGCAAGTCAGCATTCTCTTCTCTATAATTTATAGTCTTAGGGGGCGGTCTAGAGCACTAAGAAGTTAAGTGATTCGTCCAGGGTGACAAAGTCAGTATGTGTCTGAGGCGGGACTTGAACCCAGATCTTCTTGGCTTTCAGGTCAAATCTCTACACCACATTGCCTCTTCCCCACAGAATTGCTATTCCTATAAAAACAACACATCCCTTATTAAAAACTTTGTCATTATAGATTTATTTTTATGTTCAGAATAGCCCTATGAGGTAGACAGTACGCATTTTATAGATGAGGAAATAAAGACCTGAGGAGACTAAATGTCTCAAGAAAGGACATAGAAACTTTAGAGCTACACTAGTTCAAACCTACTCCTCTGCTGTTAAGCCTAGGCCACACCCTGCCTTCTTGTAGTTTCACGGGCCAAAATACCAAAATATCATGATTTTATTTTGCTTCTTCCAAACCTAGGTAAGTTGCAGGGTATTCAACCTTCATCCAGCAAATTTCCATGGAAAACCAATCTCTTGTGTTTTAGGTACTTTGGGGAGAGACACGGAATTCCAAAACAAGCCCAACTTCTTATCTTTAAGGGGCTGCTAAGCCAGAGAGAAGAGACTTAGGAAACAACTGGAGGGGGAAAAGATTTTGGACCAAGTCTGATTTTATCTGTATAGGAAACTAGCAGCGATGAACCTCCCTCTATAGACACAGGTTGGCAGCAATTCTGTGATTTAAGGGTCTTCGACAGGACCCTGCGAGGTTTTAATGACTTACCCAGGGTCACCCACCCAGTATTTGTCAGAGGTGGGGCTTGAGCACTGGTCTTCCTAGGTGAAAGGGAGGCAGCTAGGTGGCGCCATAGTGGATAGAGTGCCAGGCCCGGAGTTAGGAAGACCTGAGTTCAAATGTGACCTCAGACACTTATTGGCTGTGTGATCCTGGGCAAGTCACTTAACCCTATTTGCCTCAGTTTCCTCATCTGCAAAATGAACTGGAGAAGGAAATGGCAAACCACTCCAGTATCTTTGCCAAGAAAATGACCAAACAGCAACAGTAAATAGTGCAGCAAATAGCTTGCTGGACTTGGAGTCAGGATGACCCAAATTCAAATCCTGCCTGAGGTTGCATGACCCCAGACAATTCACTTAACCACTCCAGGCTTCAGTTTTCTTATCTGAAAATAGGGGATAATAAGAATACCTTTAATTTAGAAGGTTGTGGGGATCAAATGAGACAACACGCATTGTAAACCTTTCGGCATTTATATAAATCTTTTTTAAATTAATTTATTTACTTTTAGTTTTCAACATTCACTTTTATAAGATGTTGAATTCTAAATTTTTTGCCCCTCCCTCTCCTGCCCCTTCCCTAAGACGGCATGCAATTTGATACAGGCTGCATTATATATAAACCAAAGCCCAAAGAGGGAGGTGGTTTGCTAATCGCTCAGGCTGTCCCCTGAGGTAGGCCTGGATTGAATCAGTTCTTACTGAAGTCATTCAAATGTCAAATGGTCTCTTATCATCTGAGCAACAGTTCCTAGACTTTCTTTGGAATGCCACCTTTCTAACAATTTTTTTTTTTTTGATGAGGCA